CGCACCATAGGGAATAGAAGGGCCCACCAGTTCCAGGCAACTTTTTCTTCTGACGTAATTGCCCTGCCCACTCCAGCTGCCCAGGGGGAAATGAAAGAAGAGGCGGCGAGCAGTGGTGGAATGGCGCCTGCGTTGTCTCCGACACCGAGCGCGGGCAGTCGCCAGGAAGTACTTGAAGCCAGGAAACCTTTTGGTGGGGAGCGCCCTGAGGGTGGCCAGGAGCCCTTGCCTCCCAACTTGGCTGCATCGACGATGGGGCAGGCGGGCAAGGCGGATGAGGGCTCTATGCGGAACGGAACCGAAGACGATTGAACGCAGCACAGAACTTCACTGTATGTTTTGAGGAGCGTGCACAACGAGCCGGCCAATGCCGACACGCTCACGAGCGAAGAACAAGACGCTGACCGTGAAGAGGACACGCATGTCTGCACTGCCGTGGGCGCGAACAGCGGCCCCGATTTACTCAACGGCACTTACGCGACGCCCGCGGATGCCACCACAGCCACGCCTGCGTTCAACAGAGACCAGATAATTGTTCACCACAAGGATAACGTGTCGGATGACGTTGGTGCTGCACTGACTCCCACGAGCACAGCGCCTGGGGGGACAGAGACCCCATTGGAGTCCAACGCAGCTCCGCCTTTGGGCAACGATGTTTTTGATTCGGAGAATATCACCGAGTTGATGTCCATTGGTTTAGTTGGCGAAAGCACCGTCCATGGATGTGTATCTCGGGCGTTTTTGCTTCTGCTTTTGGGACTGTGTGGAGTCGTGGCAGGCTCATGAGCCAAAGGGTGTGGATGTGCGGCTCCTCATGGAGAATATTTACCGCTTTTCCCGCGGTCCTTCTTTTGGTTTGTTTTCTATAATATATATATTTTTTGATGTTACATTATCATTGCCTGCTGCTGGTTTTCTACTGGGACAATCATCACTTTTGCTCTTTTCTTCTCTTTAATGGTTGGTTGCTGCATGCCGTCATGAGTGACGTGCTTCCCCTCTTCTTTGATTTTTTTTGCCCACACGCGGTGCCGACCTCACTGCTGTGCAGTCCCACCGACCGCACAAAAGGACGAGTGGAGGGGACAGGCCGGATGCCGCATGAAATGTGAGGGATATTGTGTGGACTCGTGGAACAGTGTGCTCTTTTTAAAATATATTTCATTAATTTCCTGTTTGTGTGGGTCATACGTAAGTTCTTCCGGAGCCTCACCATTTTTGTTTTGTTTTTGCCCCTTTGGTGAATCCCAGCGGCTCGTTTCCGTCTGTGCCGTGCCTAGTGTCACTGGGGTTTTCCGTGCCGACGAGTGTGTGCGGAGGGAGCAACGCTGACGGTGACAGGGGGAGTATGGGGAAGGGGCGTGGGCGATGAGCGCTCATTGTTGTTTGTGTTGTTTTCGTTTTACTGCGCCCTCCTGCTTGTTGTTGTGGTGGTGCGTGAGTCCCATCGCTGGAGGTACCTTTGCGTGGTTGTTTGACTTGTCTCTCTCCTTTGCTTTCACTCTGCGTTGACGGGGAGTTGGTTTTTGCTGAGGGCTGCACGCAAGTGACAGGAGTGATGGCGATGATGATGACTGGCCGTGTGCTGCTGGTGTGTGCCCTCTGCGTGCTGTGGTGCGGCTTATGTGGAGTTGCGGCCGATGATGTTTATGTTCCTCCTGGTGATAGTGGAACTTCCGGCAAAAATGGAGTTGGGGTTAGTGTTCAGCCTCCTGTCCTATCTGAGAGTCCTGGTGCTAATGAGGATCCAACGGACAAAGATACTGAGGAAAGTGAAGGTGGTTCCCTGGAGTCTGACGATTTGGACAGCCAATATTTACTTACCGAAACTGTTAAGGATGGTGTGGTGGCAGATGTCTCTAAGGACGGTTTACCCCGTCAAGAAGAGGGCACCATAGTTACACCGGGTCAGCCGGAACCAGTGCCTCGTGTTGAATTGCCGTCCGAAGCAAAGGCAACAAGGCCACTCGTTCCAAATCCGCAGGAGCAGCTGCCCAACACACCAACGGAAGATGAGCCCCTTAGCACAGGTCTCGGAGGGAACAGACCATCTGGGAACTCGCGGAAACGGCCTCTCTATCTCCTCCAAAGGACGGCGGTGCTGCCAGCGATCAAACTGCCGGAGGCACCACGGACAAAAGTCTGCACAATAATCCCCTGCATGGGGCCGCGGTTACGGTGCAAAACCACCGTGAGGGAAACACGGGACTGAGCGAGGAAGCAAAATCAACAAAGGCAACTGCCAGCACAACTGATCCGGGGAGTACACAGAACAGCAGCATCAACCCTGCGGCAGGACCCTCGGTGCTTCAAGAGGGGGTGGCTACTCGTGACGCCTCCCCCACACTAAAACCCGCGTCTCCTGCTGCTGGCGCTGAGGGTTCCGCTGGTACTCCTTCTCCAATTGACACCTCGGGCAGCGCTGGTGTTAACTCTCCTGCTGGCATTTCTGGCACCGGTGGCACGACGGATTCCTCTTCTTCTGCGGCCTCGCGGGCGCCGGACCCCGCTCCCTCTGGTGAACTTCCAGGCGCTGCACATTCTGCTTCCGCTGCTTCTTCTGCTTCACCCGAATCACCACCAGATACAAGGCCGACAGGAGGCGGCAGCCACTACTCCCATGATTCCCCAGTGGAGCTGCAGGAAGAGAATTCGGGTGCGCCACTGACTCAGTTTTCCCAGACCGGCGAGGACGGGAGTGCAGCGGGAGGCACCGAAGAGGACGCCGCCACAAGCACCAACGACACTGCTACCAGCGAAGGCAATACTACGACGGCAAGCATGCCGGCTCCTCTTTCCTCTGCGCCCACAACGAAGGCGCTGGAGAACCGTGTGGGAAATGACGCCTGCTTTCATGACACCCGTCTGCATGCCTGTTCTGGCAGCGCTTATGTATGGGACACTTGGCTGAAAGATTGTATGTGGGCTACGCGTGCCAGCATCCAACCGCGGGCTTTGTGCACTTCTTTTGTTTCTACGCAATAAATAAGGTAAAATACTGAGCCTTTTAAAATTTGCTTCCGCTGCCCCGCCGTGTGTTCCTTGCTGCTCTCCGTATCCGCTACTTGGCACGTATCCCGGACACAGTCATATGCACGACGCGCCCACAACTGTTTGCGTGGACCATGTTTGTGTGTGAGTGCATGCGCGCTGGAGCCATACTGTGCGGCCTCTTTTTTGTGCTTTACTTTTTTTACTTTTGATGCTTGGTTGCGTGTGTTTTGTTTTTACTTGTTTTTACTTGTTTTTGTTGCTGTTTACTTGCTGCGGGGCTGTGCGCGTTTTTTGCCCTTTCACTGATTCCAACTGTCTCATGGTGTGTGTGCGCTGCTGCTGCTGGGCTGCTATCATTTGTCACTGTGCGGTGGCTGTGCGTGGTGTGGCGGTCGTGTCTTTCTCCTCTTTGCTTTTGCTCTGCGTTGACGGGTAGTTAGTTTGTGCTGAGGGCTGCACGCAAGTGACAGGAGTGATGGCGATGATGATGACAGGCCGTGTGCTGCTGGTGTGTGCCCCCTGCGGCCCTGATTGGTTTATCGCCCGTCGGTGGCATCCGTCCACTTCACGGAGGAATGGTTGTCCGCGGTGTGACATTCAGTCTTGATGAGGCTCAAACGGAGCATTGGAGACGCAGCTGCGAGTGGTGGTTTGTGGCGAGGGTGGCCGCCCTGACGTGCTGCCAGCGTGCGGTGCCTCGCGAGGAGGGAGGGCGGGAGCCCGAAATTTGTCTAGTCGACTTGTTGCAGGCGTGATGGTGGCGGCGTGCAGGCCAGTGAGTGGTGTGGTGCTGAGGGTGCCTGAGAAGAGTGCGGATGGATTCCTGCCCAGCAGCTGCACGTGCCGGCGTGTCTCTCCCGCTGTGGATTTGACGGCGGGGGACTATCCGGCAGCGTGGGGTGATGCGTGCCGGCGGAGAAGTCGCCGGGAGTTAGCTGGAGGGTGTGGGGAGGTGCAGAAGTGAACGACGGGCTGCAGCGCGTAGGCACAGCGAAGGGCGGTTGTGCTCCTTTGCATCCCGCTGGTTGATGTGTGTGTGTGCACTTCGCTTGGTGTGTGCTGACGCGTGACGAACAACACACCCGCCGTGGCTCCTGCTGGTGGTGGCCGTCGCTGTGTGTTCCTGGTGCAATGTTCCTACTCCTTGTTCCGTGTGTCTGTGTGCGTGAGTTGTTGTGGTTGGGAGTGACCGCGACGAGGATCATGATGCCAACCACTGTGGATGGGTGGCGGTGCTTACTGTGTCAACTCTTTACTTGGCTTTTTTTTTCTCTTCCCTCCTACATGCACACACTCTCTTACGAAGAAAGCAAACAAGCGCTAATCACTACTGTGAAATTGTAAGGCACTGAAAGGACCAACAACAGCACACACACCGCCCACACACACACACATATTTATATGCTCTCACGTGTTGCTGCAGTGAAGGCACCCCGCACACACAGTTGTCGCTGCGTGACTGGATCCAGCGGAAGGAGGAGGGAAGGAAGAGAGAGTGAGCCGCAGAGGCCCCACATGTCCCGGCATGTGTTTACTTCCGTTGTGCTCCTCCTTCTCGTCATGATGTTGTGCGCCGCCGCTGGGCCTGCACAGGCCCAAAGCTTTGAAACGACAGTGGGCGATGTTTATGGAGGATACAGTTGGGAGTCGTTGTCAAGGGATCATCGAGCCGCAAACCCACCGGTCCCTGGCCACATTTTCCGCAATCCCCATCTTGTGAATGTGAACGGGATGCTTTTGGCCATTGCTGGAGCTCAGTTCAATAGAACTGTGGGGAGCGGGAGTGCGTCCATGCAGTTGATGGCGGAGCTCAGCTTGAATCGTGGGGTGAATTGGAGTCCGTACCCGAGAACTGGAGATATTGACGCCTTTGCTGCACACCCTTACCAGTTGTCGTTTCACTCGTCTTTTGGACCCTTCGGATCGCTTTTTGCTTTTGTGGAGGGCTACGACTTATGGAAGGGAGTCACACCTCATTATGCCAATTGGTGGGGAGGAAGTGGGTTGGAGTCTGTTATCCATTTCCTGGAGACGGGGCCTGAAATAAGCGGAGGTTTTTCGATGAGTTCCGTTTCTATGAGCATTCGCCTTCCTTATCTCTATAAATCCGGTGAGGTGATTGGCTTCCTCAACGATGCCAGTACTCCCATCACGAAAATGACGGATGGCACGCTCGTGTTTCCCGTGCAGTTTCTGACAATGGAATGGAGCACTGCGTCCACAATCATTTACTGGAATTCCCGTCAACAGCACTGGACCTTTGCGAACAGCGCGACACATGCGGGCTGCACCAACCCCAGTATCCTTGAATGGGAGGCTGGGAAAATCATCATGATCACCTCATGTGAGTCCGATCGCCGAAGGGTGTACGAGTCGACTGACAAGGGGAACACGTGGAAGGAGGCTCTGGGGACGCTCTCGCACGTGTGGGGCAACTCATTGGCCGGTCTTGGGCTCCACATTCAGAGTGGATTCATCACTGCAACGATTGGCGAAAAGAAGGTGATCCTCCTCACCCAGCTGGAATATTCCAGGGAAAGCCAAAGGAGCGAGATTCACCTGTGGCTAACGGACACGAACCGCATTTACCACGTTGGCCTGTTAGCCACTGGGTATGGCGCGACCTCCAGCTCCCTGTTGTACGCGGATAATAAACTGTATTGTTTGTACGAGTCCGGTGCTAGAAGCGACTCTGGAGTCTCCTTCCTGGATCTGACGCTTGAGCTGCAGAATATATGGCATGCGCTGTCTACCTGGGCCGCAAATGACAATGCCTTGAGACATTGCAGCTCACTTGCCGCGAACGCCGCGCTGTCAAGATGGGGCTGTTCTGTTCCTTTCCCCATGGCTGGGCTTGTGGGCCATTTGGCAGACAGGCTCCTTGGGGACAAGTGGGAGGACGAGTACCTTGGGGTGAATGCTGTTGTGAGGGGTGCGAAGAAAAAGGCTTCCGATGGGTTGACGTTCGAAGGGCAGGGCGCGGGGGCCGAGTGGCCTGTGGACAAGCAGTGGCCGACCAGACCACTCCACTTTGCAAACTATGGGTTTACTCTTGCGGCAACGGTGTCGATCCACGAGGTGCCGACGGGCATTACTCCCCTGATGGGCCTGAAGAGAATGGGGAAGACAACACTCCTGGGACTGTCGTACGATAAGAATATGGAGTGGAGCGTGGAGCATGACTTCTTCCCGAAGCATTTTACCGCATGGGAGGTGGACAAGACGTATCACGTGGTGCTCAAAATGCATGACGGTGTGGGCTCCGTGTACGTTGACGGGACCCTCCTTTGGAATATGAGTCTGAGAAATTCGTTCAATGAAGGGCTGGACACGGTCTCACACTTTTACTTTGGCGCGTACGATGAGCAGTTGAGCAGCGGAAAAATCCATGCGACGGTGGCGAACGTCTTTCTGTACAACCGCCCGTTGAATGAAACTGAGATTGGCGCCCTCAACGCGAATAAATTCACCATTCCACCTCCGGAAAGGAACCCGGAGAAAGCGGTGGCAGTTTCTCCCCCGCCCGTTGAACCTGCCAACGATACGGTGACCACAAGTACACAAGCAACTGTGCCATCGCTCACTCCTGCCGGAACACAGCCGACGGAACAAGCAACCGTGAATGCGAGCAGTGTTCCGAGTGGTAGCACTCCATCCACAACAGCTGAGTCGAGGCCAGCAGAGCCCGAACAAGCAACCTTGAATGCGAGCAGTGTTCCGAGTGGTGGCGCTCCATCCACACCAGCTGAGTCGAGGCCAGCAGAGCCCGAAACAGCAAGGGAGGGAACTGCAGACCAGCCGACATCTGCCACATCTTCAAGCGCTGCCAGTACTGATGTTGGTGCTTCCTCATCTGATGATGCACAAACGGTGGGGACGGAAGGTGAAAATAAAATGCAGGCAGGTCAACCAACCCAATTCTCTGTGGGAACCCCCGACGCAGCAAATGCAGCAACACATAACGCTGAAGGCAAGGGACAAGATGGGCTCCATCCACAGGTCAAGGAAGCAGAGGCGGCAACACCCAGCAGCAGCCTTTTAAATTCGTCGCAGTGGGATAACAGCGTTGCTGGCGCTATGCGTGAGAGCGGACTGCTGCTGCTTCTTCTGCTGGGGCTGTGGGGGTTTGCGGCTGTGTGAGGAGTGTGCAGCCTTGGTGTGGAAAACTTGCGCCATCCTCCACAAAGGCATAAACACACCGCTAGGCATAAATTTCACCTTGCAAACAACAATTTCTTTTTTCATTTAGTACTTTCCTTCCTTTTTTTTTGTGTAACCACAATGGGAGTTTTTTTTCGGCTTAAAATTTTTTTTCTTTTCTGTTTGGAGTATAATTTCTTATGTTTGTTATGTTTGTTTTTAATTATTTTTGCTTGCTTTTATAAAAAATTTTTATTTCTGTTTTTCCTTTTTTGCTCCACTTTTCCCTTCTCTCTTTGCTTTTGGGATGATCCGTGTGGACGTTTTTTATTTTCTACTCTTACCTCTTTTAATTGTTTGTTGCTGCACTCTTCCTGCGAGGGGTGCCGTGTGTTTCCCGCCCAACTGCTCCACTCGCACACCCACCGACACGCTCATGAGGAGGGGCCGCGACGAACGGCGCGCTGAGGGAGCCGTGACGTGTGGGCGTGCGACGAGGGACTGTGGGGCGGAGCACACATTTCTTTCCCTCTTGTTTGTTTTTGCTGCGCTCACTCTCCCGATGGAGTGACGCGACTCCCGTCGTGTCTGCGTGCTTCTCTCAGTCCCCACACACACGAGTGACTGTGCTCTGCGGGCCGCACTCACGCACCGATGAGAGGGCTGAGGGGAGCAGCAACACGCAGATGACCCATGAAATATAAACGATGTGCGGACATACGGAGAGTCGGACGGTTGAAGGACATTTAAATATCTTTTAATTTTATTTTAGGACAAAATGTATGCAGACAATTTCTGGAGCAACATGGTAGTTGGATGCTTTTTGTGTGGTTCTTTTATTGTGTGGGTGTAGCCGTAATAGAGGACCACTTTTTTTTCTTTTTTCAATTTTTTCATTTTTTTTTTCTTCATTTTTTTTTATTTATGTTTTTCATTTTTTGTTTTTTTAAATTTTCATTTTTTCTTTTTCAAAGTATGAGGGGTTGAAAGGTGAAGATGATTTTTTTTAATTTTAATAATTTTTATGAATTGCCGCTGCTTGGTCCTCAGTGCAATATCATGAGTTTGAGCAGTCTTGTTATTTCTGCCATGCACCTCTGCTGTACATTTTTGTTTGTGCGTCCCCTCACTTGCTCTGCTCCTGTTTTCACTTCTTTGCCTCGTGTGTCTGCAGGCACACACAACCACATGCACGCACAAGATGCACATTGCAGTGGATTTGGATGCTTCTTTTGTGGCGTGTGCTGGCGGTTGCGGGTGGCTGCTGCTTCCTCCGTGTGCATGAAGGGAAGGAGGAGAGAGGGCGCGCACGGCAAGTCACTCTTCCTGCGGGTGTGATGCGCGCGGTGGGCTGCGACTGCTGTGGAGAGCCGCATTCCTTTCGGTGTGCGCTTCTCCGCCGTTGTGCTGTGCGCTTGCACATGTCATTTGTTATGCGCGTGCTGGACATGTGTTTCCGGAGCGTTGGGCGACCACCACCATTCTTTTTTGGCTTGTGTGAGTGGGCACGTGCGGGTGAGGGTCAGGGCGCATGGAATGAAGGAATGGCGTGAGGAAAGGGGAATTTGATTTGGATGGTATTTGGACCGGATTCATTTGGCTGCGGTGGTCACATGCACGACGGATGTGTTTCCGCATAATGGGGGAGGATGCGACAGGATTTTCCGAAGTGGCCCGTCAATGCAATTTGGTTTCATAGCACAGGGACACAGTGGTCTTCCTGCAATGGCTGGTGACGGCCCTAGTGGACCGGTGTATTTATGCTGCTGCTGCTGCTCGAGGAGGCGTAGAAGTGCGATTTGAGGTGAGCGGCGGAGGGGCCGCACATCCCGCAGTGATGGTCGTCGTTGGCCCACCGGGTGCCTCTGAAGGTTTTGTTGGATGCAACGTCCCTATTCCCGTCTCTGGATGGCGACATCCCTGAAGCCGCCAACGAACGGGGCTGCGAGCGACGGTGAGACGCAAGCACGTGTGGATGCTCGGAGCGGTCGGCGCACCACACGCTGAGAGCATGGCACGGCGAGGGCCGGACCCAGAAAAGGGACACCGCGCGGGACGTCAATCTTCACTGCAGCGTCCGCCACCGAGTTCGGATTTGCTCGCACCTTCTGCGGTCCCTCCTCCCTCACTTCTGTGCCGAGGACTGTGCCGCGGGATCCGGCAGCGCGATGTTTGGCCGCAGGAACATGGCCCGAACAAATGATTTGTGGGAGGGGATGTGCACTGCGAAGAGAAGGAAAAAAATGTTGCGAGACGACCACCACGACAAGACCGGAGTGAAGTTGTGTTTTGTCCACTTGCGCGTGGGCGGCCTGCCACCTGGTGGGTTAGGAGGATTACTTTTTTTTGCGTCGTTGCGCTCTCTTTTATTCCGCTGCGTTTTCATGCGGACCTGCGAAGGGAGATTTGCAAGAAATTCCTGCGAGGCGTCCGTGCCGTCGTCGGAAAGGCGAGTTACCCCTTGAAAAACGCCACTTTTTGAATTTGTTTTGGGCGGGGAGTTCCTGTCGATTCACTGCGACTTTGTTTTGCGGATTTGATGCGTGTGTCTCCGAACGGTTCGATCTGTGCTCCCGGCCCACTCGGATGTGGTGCGCGCCTCGACGTGAGGGTGCCTGCCAGCCGTTTTATTGCCTCCCCCGCTGTGGCTGCCGCCGCTGTCTTCTTCCCTTCCTGAGGTCCTGCGGCTTCTTGACAAGATGCTTTGGAGAAGGCGTTGCCGCTCTTATCGTCCATGTTATTTTGATTCTGGTGTCGCGGTCAGGAGACATTGAGCGAGAGGGTTTGCTGCCCTCTTGTTTTATTTGCCCTCTCTGCCTGACGGCCAGTTCTACACAAGCGTGCTCCTCGGCACCTCGGTTGGTGCTGGCGGGTTGCTCACAGTTGTCGCTGGCAATCGCATGCGCTAACTCGTCTCTGCTCCTTTTCAGTGTCGCATTCTTTATTGATTGACGGACGCCATTCTGTCCGGCGTGCTACCTTGATTGGATTGTGTGGGACTGCTCGCCAACGCCATCGGAGAAAGCAGACCGACTTTTCCACATATTTAATTCCATCTTGCGCGCAGGTATATTTTCACATGTTCTGTTGGGCACTCAAACAGCGAGGTGTCCGGAACTATGAATGCGTGGGATTCTTCCTGCCATGTGAGCTGCGGGCAGCACCGAGGGGCTGCCACTTTGACTCCGCAGAGTTGTTGTGTCTCTTCGCGGGGTTGGCAGGGAAATTCCATGCAGCCTGCTACTGCCGGTGTGTTCTCAAATGTTGTCAGTCCATGCGAATAATGTGCTTTAGCGAGTAAGGGTGTTGATTGGGCTTGTGTGCACACTGGTTCTGTTTGCTACTTTGTGCGGGCACGCAACGCTTGAGTGGTGGGAAAATGGAGCGGGGCGATGCATGGCCGCGTATCGCCCATTGTCCACTGCACGATGGTGTGGTGCAAATTGTGGTGCTGACTCTGCGATGTGACTGCGGTCCCCTGCGCAGCAGTGGTGGTGTGTGGAGGAGAGTGTTGACCCGCGGCGTGAGGGTGGGATCGTGCCTCCTTTTCTCTTTGTTCCTTCCCTTTTTGAAGGTATGCACTTATTTTTGGTGTCGGTGATGGGGCAAACAGACAGACACAGTGAATAAAACAA